AGCGGGTTCGATTGCCAATCAGGGCACATACCTCGATGCAGGTGCGATCCCCAGTCAGAGTGCGTTTGGGAGGCAACCAATCAATGTCTTTCTCTCACATTGATGTCTCTCTCTCTCTCTCTCTCTCTCTCTCTCTCTCTCTCTCTCAAAATCAATACAAACATATATTCTCAGGTAAAGATTTTTTTTTTAAATGTATATGCTGAAATCCTAACCTGTAAATTGATGGTGTTTGGAGGTGAGAGCTTTGGAAGGTAATTCGGCCACGAGGGTGGGGCCTTCATGAATGGGATTAGTGCCCTAGAAAACAACCCCATCCCCGCTGAGGCTCCCTCAACCCGCCCACCTGTGAGGACACAGCCAGAAGCTGGCCCTCACCACACACAGAATCTTGGTCCTGGACTTGCCAGCTTCCAGAACTCAGAGACAGAAATGCTGGCTCTGTGAGTCACCCAGCCTGTGGTATTTCTGTTACAGCAGCCGGAACAGGCTAAGGCGGTGCCTGTATGTGCACGCATATGTATATGTACACATATATAGATACATGGATATCTAACATAGATTGTCATCTTAAAGCTAGAACCAACTCAGACTGGTTAACTCTATTTTGTTGATTTTGCAAATAAATACATTGCCTGAGGCTGCCCCCCGCCCCTCCCACAGGCACCAGCCCTGAGATTCAAACCCTGTTCTGCGGCCCCAGAGCCTGAGCCCTTGGCTGCGCCACCCCCTCCTGTCTGTCCTCCGGGCATCGCTCTGCCTGACACCTGAAATCAGGGCAAAGTGTCCTCTTGCTCGGCCTCAGCTGGGAACAGCGCTACTGACAACTCAGTCCTGCCGCTCTGCACATGTCCGCGGAACCTGGAGCCGCACAATGAGCGCTGCTGATGCCGGGGTAACAAGGACTTTTTTGGCCCTACTGGTTTGGCTCGGTGCATAGAGCATCGGCCTGCACACTGAAGGGTCCCGGATAACATCTTCTTTTTAATTTTTTAAATCACAGTTTACATTCAATATTACTCTGCATTCGTTTGGGGCGTACAGCCTAGAACAATAGCATTTTTTGACCCACAGTTGAGAATAAATGGCACCGCAGACCTGGTGCTGACAAACCAACACTCAGCTTCCCCCAAGTGGGACACAGGCCTCACCACCACCCCAGAGCGACACCCACCAAATCGCAGCCAACGCTGCCAACACCCCATGACGTAAAATGCGGCCCAAAGCCCAGCCCAGCCCAGCCCAGCCCAGCCCAGAAATGGTGGCTGTGTGCACTGGGTAATGGGTAATGACCTCACATAGCAACGCCCGGCTTCCTCTCCCTAGCAGCTGTTTTATGAAATATTTTTAATGCCTGGCCAGTGTCGCTCAGTGGTTGGGCGTCGACCTATGAACCTGGAGGTCATGGTTTGATTCTCAGTCAGGGTACATGCCCCGTTTGCAGGCTAGATCCCCACTTTTCAATAAACATACAGCCGCCCCTCTGTATCTGGGTTTTGTATCTGTGGATTCAGCCAACCACAGATCGAAAACAGTAACATCTTCTTTTCTTTTTTAAATGTGTTTTTATTGATTTCAGAGAGGAAAGGAGAGGGAGAGACGGAAACATCAATGATGAGAGAGAATCATTGATTGGCTGCCTCCTGCACACCTTCCACTGGGGACCGAGCCTGCAGCCCAGGCATGTGCCCTTGACCAGGAATCGAATCAATGATTCTCTCTCATCATTGATGTTTTTTCTCTCTCTCTCCCTCTCCCTTCCTCTCTGAAATCAATAAAAATATATATTTTTCTTAAAAAGCGGACCCACCCAGGAGACACAACGCGCCAGCAGAATGCGGGAGGGAAAAACACTGAGCTGAAACCTCCAGGACCTGAGCAATTTAGCCCAAAGGGGAAAAGGTAGAGGGAACAGCATATGCAAAAGCCCAGAAGAGAATGAAGCGGGAGAGAAATTGGACATAGGGAGGGGGGACAGAAAATACGCTCACCCTCACACCTTCCTCCTGCGTCACTCATAGGGCCCGGCCCCCCAACTCTGCAGGGAGGGAAGGGCTGGGGCCTGGGGCTGCGGGAGGAGGGGCTGGGGCTGAAGACTGAGAGACCCTCACTCGCTGTCTTTGTCACAGGTAAGCACGTGGGCCCCCATTCCCACTGAGCGTGGGAAGAGAAAGGTTACCCCAGCACAGACCGTGATGAGGCCTCTGCTGCCCCCTTGTGGCCACCTGGAGCGGGCCCATCAGCCAACTCGGTGCCCCTGGTGACCCCAGTCTCCTGGTGACCCCCCCAGGGCAAAAGGCAGAGGCCTGGACACATACTCTCCTTAGCGACTCCAAGTGCCTGCTGGGGTTCCTGAGACCACCCCCACTCCCATCTCTGGCTTCCGGATAAACCCTAAATCCGCAAGAGACATACCCCGCCCCCCCCAAGCCCGCCGTTTTGTAGCCCTAATAACGGAGACCAGAGAAAGGGAGTGAGGAGGGTTTGGCACCTGCCAAAACCCCGGCTCACTGTAACCGGTGTGGCTCAGTGGATAGAGCGTCGGCCTGCGGGCTCAAGGGTCCCAGGTTCGATTCCGGTCATGTACCTGGGTTGCGGGCACATCCTCAGTAGGAGGTGTGCAGGAGGCGGCTGATGGATGTTTCTCTCTCATCGATTTTTCTAACTCTCTATCCCTCTCCCTTCCTCTCTGTAAAATCAATAAAATATATTTAAAAACAAACAAACAAAAAAACCCGGCTCCAGGATGGATGCCACTCCGGCGCATTCCTTTGCAAAGGGAACTCCTCCTTCCCACCTGGTCGCTCCTCTCCCGGAGACCCCCTCCCCGAAGGCTCGCACGATCCCGGCTCCGA